ACTATGGGGAAAATATCACTTCTGAAATTACAGATTTCAAATGAGAACTCTCAGATTCCTACTGTGGCGGCACAGGTGTAGAGTGGACAAAAGACCTTGACTGGATTTATTTCTGGGACTTTGGTGAGGAGCAATTGCTGTGTAAGGTGATCCAAGGGCTGGGGCTTCAGTACACAGAGCTGCAAGGTGGCTGCTAGGACAGTTTTAGGGACACAGGAAAGGGAGTCTTTGTTGCTTCCCTTTCCAGATTTTCCTTGGAAAAGAAGAGGCCACATGGCAGGGTTGGGAGGAGCTTGCTGTGCTGCTAATGAAAAGTTCATGGATAGTCTGTGGCTGTAGTTTTTCGGAGAGCTGGCTGGTGCAAAGGTCTCCCCATCCTCTGGGTGGCGCTTTGATGTCAGAACATTGGATGCTCCACTGTGCACCAGGCCTGGGAGTAGACAGGCGTGCCCGCTCAGCCCAGGGCCCCAAAAGGCAGGAGACTCTGTGTGTCTCATGCTGGCCTGCTCTTGAGGCTGCTGTTTTTGTGCCTGAATGCTATGATTCTGACCAGGGAACCATTAGTGAGGCTGGGCCTGGGGTGGGATAGATCATAAGTAAGGGGGTCCTGCTTGATTTCCTGGGACCAGGCGCATGACAGACTTACTGTCCAATCTCACAGGGACCTTGTGAGGCAGGTATTTTATCCCCCATTTTATAGAGGGGAAAGCTGAGGTTTCTGACATGCCGAGGATCCTGGTAGTGGTAGTGAGACCCTTTTGGGAGGCCTGTGGTCTGTGTTTTCATCTCCCATTTCCTGTGTCTCCTATCAGCATCATGGTTCATCTTCACAGGGCAGCCAGCCTCACACACCTGATTGCTTCTCCCTTCACATGGTGCCATTAAGGCAGTGGTGTGTAGAGGTTAGAGCCTGGTCTTTGAAGTCAGGCAAAACCTGAGTTCAAGTCCTGGTTCTGCCTCTCACTAGCTGTGTGAACTTGTGTAGTAGTTTAGTCTTTCTAAGCTTCAGTTTCCCCAGCTGTAGCATAGGGATACTGACTATGCTCATCTTAGACAGTTATTATAAGGGTTAAATGACATAAAACACAGTGAAGACTTGGAATAGTGCCTAACAGTTTAACCACTCAAAAAGTGGTAGCTGCTATTATTACTATGGTGATTTCTATTCATATTATTATTACTTTGATTTTTTTTGCTTTGATTTCAACTTTTTGATTTGCGCTTCAACCTGATGCAAGTCCTAAATCTTGCATCAGATTATGGCTCAACTGTGGTGACCCAAGGCATGACGTCTGCTTATTCCCTGGGATTACTCGGGACACTAGAAGATGTGGGGGGGGAAGTGCTTCTCTCGCATAGCCTGGTTGGTCCTTCTGAGACCTTCCAGTGCCATCCTCGCTGATCCCCACGTTCCTACTATTGCCTCATTTGGAGTCACCATAAGAGAGTTGCCTGTTTCCCTGTTCTCACAACCTCCAGGTCACAGGACCTGCAGTTTAGAGTCAAAGAGGAAGATGTTGAGTTACAGGTCAAGGCATTGGCATAAAAAACTGGCAGAGATGAATTGTTGTCTTTCTTTATTCAGTAAAGGAACAAAGTGCTGGGCCCTGAGTGGGCGTCTCTGTAGTGTGGGTGATCCAGTACTCTGTTGGGGGTGGTCCAGGGGGCTGTGGATCACACAGCAGAGGCGCCTCGGGTGCAGAGGGATTGGGGACAGGGAAGGCTTCCCATAAGAAGTAGCATCTAAACTGGGATTTGATAGAGCAATAAGTGTGTACTAAAGGAGGACAAGGAAGAGCATTTCAAATAGAGAAGGAACAGCTTCAGGAGTCAAAAAGAGCATGCAGGACCAAAAAGTAATTCAGTGACAGTTGGAATGGAACACATAAACTGGAGTATGGCTGCCAGGAGACTATAAAGGTCAGCAGGGGCAGGGCTCTGAGGTCCTGTAAGCTGGGCTGGCGGGAGTGGCCCTAACCTGGGAGCCATTTTAAGTAGGGAGTGATGGGAACAGAACATTATTTTAGAAGGTCATTGTCAAGGTAGTGTCAAGAACAGCCTCGACAGGGCAAAAGGGAGGCAGGGAGGCTGTTTAGAGCATGTGGCTGTGATGCCGGGAGAAACCATGGAAGCCTGAACTGGGGTAGAGACTACATGGATGCAGAGAAGTGGAGAGATGTGAGAGAGACCCAGAAGTGCAAGCAGAGAGGACCTGTTGTCTGAATGGTGGAAGGAAGGAAGAGGGAGAAGTCCAGCCTGAGGCTTGGATCCTTGCCTGGACAGTCAGGTGAACAGAGGTGCTGTGTACTGAACCGGGATGCCGTGAGGCATAGACCCTGAGAATGGCAGATGGAGACAACTCTGGAAAGCTCCAGAAGCTGGGGGTGAAAGCCTCTGTTGTTCTGTACCTGGTTTGCTACCCATATCCAGCCTGACCCTCCATTGGTCTCCTGAGTCACTGTGATTGAGTTAGCATGTGACTTCCTTTAGGCCAATGAGGGCTTCACATTAGAGTCACCTAGAGCGCTTTTAAAAAAAATCCCAATGTAGAGGCCACACCCCAGCCACTGAGCCAGCACCTCCTGGGCTGGGCCAGAGGCATCAGTATCTGAAAAACTCCACAGCACCATCAGTGGTCAGCCAAGCGGAAGAACCACTGCTTTTGTCAATCCCTGCAGTTGGCACCTCTCAGACAGGAGTGGGAAGGGAAGGGCGAGATGATGGTTAAAAGCTAGTGTTTTATTCTCCAAAAGGTGACATCTGTATGTTCACGGAGGCCTGCCAGCTATGGGGTGGGGGAAGGGCAGGCATGCTCAGAAAGATAGTGGGACCTAATTAATTTGGAATTTTGATACTCAGACAAGGCTGGGCCTCAGGCCAGTATAATTTGTATTTTCTCTGAAATGAAGGTTTACACGCTACAAGCTGTAAGACGGCACTGGCTTTGTTTGGTGTGCCAAGGAGACGTGCCCTTTCAGGGTCCCTCCATCTGTTTTCTACATGTAAATTGATGATTACACAGAAATGTTGCCTGTTCAGAGCAGGTTCAGTCCCCTTATCAAGATATAGTTAATCATAGTTGAAATTTTAATTAATTTGTTTACATTTATATGCTGTGTAATAAATACCCTAGAGTGATTTAAAACACCACACTCAATGCACAAAACAACTCGATGGTGTATTATCTTTTTGTTGTTGTTGTTGTTTTTTTTTTTTTGAGTTGGAGTCTCACTCTGCCGCCCAGACTGGAGTGCAGTGGCCGCTCCCGGCCACCGCAGCCTCGACCTGCTGGGCTCCAGCAATCCTTCCGCCTCAGCCTTCTGAGTAACCGGAATTACAGGCATGCGCTACCACGCCCGGCTGATTTTTTGATTTATTGTAGAGATGAGGTCTCGCTGCCCAGGCGGGTCTCGAACCCGCGTGCTCAGGCAATCCGCTCACCTCAGTCTCCCAAAGGCGCGGGATTACAGGCTGAGCCACCGAGCCCGGCTTTATCTTTTTTAATAGATAGGGTCTATTTAGTAGATGAGAGTCACTGAGTCTTAGATAGTGAGAGTCTGCCCTTTAAGCAAAAACATGCCTGCAACTTATTTTCAAATTTCATTGATTTTGTTTATAAACCATCCTTCCTACATGAGACTAATAAAATTACATGCATTTAAAAAATTTCATAATTATTTTTCCAGTTGCAATTGGTCTCCCTTCACTTGGGCCTAATTGGTAAAATTCAAATGTGCAAGAATCACATTACTGAAAATTTAAACATATCCATAAAGCCGAATGTTTCATTCAGTGTTCCCGGGACATCCCACTAACGTAAACATCTGGAGATGAGTGTGAAAGTGTGTATCTTTTATTTATTCACCCTATGTGCATACCAGATAAAATACCAGGCACTTTGTATCACTATTGGGAATCACTATGATCCTTCAAGGTCTTGTTGTATGGATAACCACTCAGAAAAGCTGAATGGATTATGTGCCACACAGCTGGTGAGTGCTAGAGCCAGAATTTGAACCCACATCTGCTTCAAAGCCTGTCCTGTTTATATAGTACTTTCTCTGCCTTTGACTCCATGGTACTGACCTTTTCTTTCCTTTCTAGATATTGAGAAGACTGCTTTTAGTTAGCTCAGGTAATATGATAATTTTGCTAGTAATCTCAAGAGCCGGTGGTTTTGAATCTGGAGAGATACCCTTTGTCTTGGCCAGAGTACAAATGGAGCATCATGTACCCATTGATATCCTCAGAAGCAAAACCCACATGTGGAGTGTAGTTTTGGGAAGGAACCTTAGACTCAGTTTTTTTCCTTGGGAAAAGAACAAGTTCTAGTAGGTTACTTTCCTCCACCCCAGGTTGGATGGACTGACAGAGACAAACAGGAAGACCCCAAGAAGAGGGAACCCTTTGTGGTGTTTATAATCCTTTAATCAGCTGTAGGGGTCGTAGCTATCCATTTAAAATATTTCCTGTGAACATAAGTACATATCTTCCTCAGGTTTGAGACCCCCCTCAAGCTATCTCAAAGATGCAAGGCAAGATGAATTTTTTTTTACAGAAATGTAGAAGGTCTATTACTCTTGGTCTCTGATGTTATCTTGGTTTTTTAAAAAAATTGAATCTCACCCTTTGGACCGATGTCGCAGGCAATTATTTATTTGAAATTCTCATAAATGGTAATCATGGCTGAGTGTCTGGATTTAATCATGATTTTGCTTGCTGTTCTGTGGTGTTGACTTAGATTACTAGAGCAAATGCAGACTTCTCCCCACTTCAGTTATTCTACCCCATAACCTCATGTCCTTTCTCATTAACTTAGTGAATTGATGAAATCTTTTTAAAGAAGTGATGGTAGGTGAGTTAAGAGAAAATATTCAGCTATGACCTTTCTTGTTATGATAATTTGAAAATTTGATGCAGTTATCAAAAATGTGTACATTCCTTCCTATTGTTTGATGTGATTCTTTATTTTTTCTCATTTATAATGCTTTCGTACTCAGGAAGTTGAGGTAGGTTTTTTTAAAAATTTTTCAACTGTATGTAGACATAGCATCAAAATAGTTGCCAAATAAAATGTAAATTTCATTCTAAATCTTAAATCTCAGTAGTAAATATTTGTTTTAGTTCAGTGAACCAGTACCACACACATTTATTTTTCATTGGTATATCCAGGGGATGCAATTTATCAAATGCATATAAACAGTCCATTTGCTGCTTTATCTTTTCTCATTAGTTACAGTACAAGTATGATTGTCAGTTATTATCTGAGTTTTACTGGGGGGTTATTTATTGAAAGAGTGGAGCAACTGACATTGTTATTTTCCGAATCATTTTGCCTAAGACCTGCAGAACTTTAAACCAAATGTCAGACCAATTTATCAAGGAATCGTTCTATTCAGGATGAAAGTGATTTAGAATGTGTGTATAAACATACACCCACCGGTACTTACACACACCAGTAACAGTTATGGGAATGTCACAGGGATACAGAGATGTTAATAGAGCTGGAACAGCTTGTATTTGATGTAATTTAGCAAGGATTTATTGTGTGCTGTTGAGTAATACCCTAGGGAATATGCAGGTGAGTAAGACCCATCCCTGCTTGAAGTATCCCAGGCCCAGGTGTGTATGGGGTGATATGTGCACATGGAAGTGTGTTAATACACACAGTTGCCAGTGCCTGGTTTGCAGGGTTCTCATGAGTGGAATTTGTAGATGGAAGGTCTGGGGGTGGGGAGCCTCAAGTCATTGCCCAAACTGGGTCGCTTCATTTAGAAGGATTCTCACTCAGGCTCCTCACCTGGGCTGAGGTGGGATGGGACTGGTTTAGAGGAGACAGACATCAAATTATCTGCCCAGAGATGTGAATGGAAACCACTCAGAGGTAAAGTAGTTGCATGTGAAGCTAGCTCCTTTCTCAATAAATGGAGTGTTCTGTACCTTGCAGTAACTTGATTAGCAGGGATTCTCACTGCACACGAATTAAAATTGTTGGCAAATATCACATTATATAGCTAATACAAATAAATAATGTTTTCTGGGAATCTCACTTTTCTGGTGACTTCTATTATCATTTCAGGGACACTTTTCCTACTCCAACCAGTCCTTCTTACTGTTCTGCCCAGTCAATTCATATGAAAATGAACTGAACTAGTTTGCACTGAGAGCAGTTTGGCCACAGTCCCTTTATTAACCTCTTTGTGAAAGCTTTCGGTTTGATAAAGTAGGATCTGTGCCTCTGTGTGGGATCTGCAGACTTGACTTCAGTCCACTGGACTTTGCAGGGGAGTGCTTCTCCCTTTTGTGTTTCTCTGCAGTGAGCCCACAGACAACCCCAAAGCGACGACTTGCCCTCCTCTCACCTGCTTCCTTCTGTCCATGTCTCTATTGCTCACCCCTGCTCAAGAAAAATGAGGCTCCCATTTATTTTCTAGGCTGGTAATTTGTATTATCTCAGGTAATCTTCAGATAAAACTACAGGGTTCAAACAGCTTAGCTAAAATATGTATGAGGGAGAAATGATCTGTTTCATGTGAACTAAATGTCTTTGATCTGTAGCATCTGAAGCTGTGGTAGATAATAAATTACATCATCATCTTCATAACTGGGAGTCAAAGCAGTTGGGTTTTCAGAGTGATTTCCATTTGATTCTGCCACCTCATCTTTTCCTCAGAGTCAGATTTGACGTCCCTTAGAGCTGAAAGAGGCACCTCTTGAAAGGTACATCCCTGGGGAAAGTTTTAACTAAATTGCACCAGCCATTTTGGGGCTATGGCACAGTGATAGAAAATTCAGGTCCAAAATGGGCTGGAACCATAGACTTTCCAATTGGTTATGATCATCCATGATAAAGAGACTTAATCACTTAAATTATACTAGGAATATTTTGCTATCTTTCATGTGAAGTAGACTTAAAGATTTCATTAGAAGATGTATTATAAAATGGAATGCTCTTGGGAAATATATGTATATTTGCATAAAACAATATATTTTATTAATATTACATATTAATAAATATATCTTTACTAATGTCTATTATATAAATGTTTTATATATATATATATATATAAATATATAAACAGATTTTGTTTTCCATGAATGCTTGTCAGAACAGAACATCTCTAAAGTAGTTGGAAACCCAGAGTTTAATTCCTTTGCACCAGGCATTGGAGACCAATAATTTCATAGGACTTAGTACTATGTTGGTAGGATATTTAATTAGTGAGAAAAATGGAAAAACATAGCCTTATCTGCATTGATCAGCTGTAGAGAATAAAAAAAATAACTGGAGCCATAGTCTTCCTCTGCCACCAGCACTAGTCCCCTTCTTCCTCATCCTAGACATGTAATGATTTGTCACTTTCTTACCATAATTTTTATGTTGACTTTTTATTATATTTCCTACTGACCTGGGATACTTCATGATTCTAGACATAAATCAATATGCTTAAGTTTGAATTTCTATTTAAATTTACAGGTTCTTCCAGATTTTAACAGGCTCTAAAAAAGGGTCAGATGATTTTCATTTATGAAATGTTACAGTGAAATGGAATCAGCCTTTCCTCATATTGACTGGTTAGAATTTAGAGCAAGACTGTTCTCCTCCCTGTCCAGTAGAGTCCTGATATAATTATGCTCTACAGTGTAGCCCATAACGTACAACTGGGTAGTAACACTACCATGCTTCATTCCTCAACCTGTAGAATGCATTAATGGGAGCTGTTGAACTTAACAAATGACTATTTTTGATATGCATCTTTTAATTTAGGTTTATATTTTAAAGATTAACTCTTGCGGAGATCCTTGCAAGTCTTTTGTAAAAGCTTCATCATTTGTTGATAAAATTACCACTCAAGAGACCAACTCAGACAGATGATGCTTTGCCTGACAAGTTTGATCTATCAAATATGTCTTTTACCATAGTGTGAATTTTAACAGGTCATAACTTGACTTCACTGGGCCAGAAGGAAGGGTCAGAGGTGAGGGTCTTAAAGTCCTGCGCTTTGTTATATCTGGATTGGACTCTGGAATCCACACAGTATTGGGATGGTGCAGGGGCAGGCAACTACTTCCTAGGGTGGGAATTGATAGAACTGTCGACAGCACAGCAAGTCAGGGGTCTGTTTGTTTTAGATCAACGTAGAATATGCTTGATATGTTTTTATTTAGATAGAAAACAGGATTTTGAAAAAAGCTTGGTGGTGGCCCCTGGGTCTTAGACTCTGGAGAAATGACTAGTACTGGTATAAGTAGAGTGTGGGTTCAGCACCACAGGACAGCTATCCTTATGTCCTTTGAGCATCCCAGTTTTCAAGTGGGACACAGGAATGAACAAATTTTCAGGAGGTGAAGCTCTAGAAGAGGCATTCTTTTATTTCTGACTTTTCCCACATGGATCTGGACTCTGCCTCACCAGACATTCCCCACATGCAGACTGACTTAATCATTGTAGCACTAGCCTGTGTGTCAAGTCCCCAGACCCAGCTAGCACAGTGTGGAAGAGTGACCCCATGTGCTCTGTCTTCTTACACTCTGACCTCAACTGCAGCAATGGCTGCTAAGAGACTCCCTCCCTCATGCTCATTGACTAGCTTCTGAGTGGGCTCTGGTGCCTAGAGAACTTCACACATGCTCATGATCTTGGCCTCTGCTTTGAGATTGTGTCTCTCAGGTGTAGCCAAAGCAGTGACACCCAAGGTTTTATCAGCTCTGACTCATTGGTTTTTGCTTTGGCAGTCCACTTTCGCAAGGCAGGGCTAAAGCAATCAGTTGCAGAGAATAATTTTCCTCCCCTGTTTGGCCTTGCTGGGCAAGGGGCTGTTTGAAGGACTCGTTTTGCATAATGAGTTTCCACTCAAGGTGTACTTTCACATTTTGGCAGCAATTAGTCAGTATTGTTACACTGGCAATGGATTTTAAATATTCTAATGCAGATATCTACTTTTGGAGTCCTTCTATTTAAAACTCTGATTTTCCCCAAGAAATATGTAAAAATGGCAATTACAGTTAACCTGAAAAAGTGACAAGGTCCAGAAGGATGCTTCAGATTCCATCCAACTTATAAAGTATGTTGAAATCATTAGGGAATATTCAGTTCTTGAGACTTGCTTAACCCTGTCTTTGACATCAAAGAGAATGTGACTTGTGAAATTAAAGCAAAGGAAGTTGTCTTTGGCTCTAGCCCTTCACTGTTGAACACACATCCTAAGCTTCCAAGGGCTTCCATGTATTAGAACAGCATGTTCAAGTAGAAAATATCTCACAAGATTCTGCATTACCATTAGATGAGAAGCCATCCTCTGTATGTGGAGAGGCCATTGATGAACCACAGTTGAAAGGATGAACGATTTGTTACTTTTTTCTCCACTGGTGAGAATGAGTTTGGGTTATCTCTTCTCCTGCCCTGGAGAAGAGCAGAATCTGTTGGTAACATGATTGTCTAAGGCTAGGAATACATTGGTCATCAAACTGAGAAATTGGGTGCTAAATATCCTATCTGCTATCCAACCCTTAATTAAAAATCATTTAACACTGGTTGCTGAGTTTCAGACAGCACAATTCCAAAAGATTAGTATTGTATTTAACATAACAAATGGAGGGAGATATTGCAGAGAGATTGCTTTAAACTTTCTCAGTGATATTTCAGGGTGTTGTAGATCTCAAAGACTTTCTAACTAGGTGGGTGAGAAGCCCAGTTATCACATAAATTAAAGCCAGAACAAGTGGGCCAATTCCTTGGGATTAAAAATAATTTAATGCCAAATCCTCAGGATCCAGAGGAATCTGTTTATTTATTCATGCTTTGGAAAATGGAATCACTGACCAAAAAACAATATGTTCTGATTTTACTCTAAATCCAGTTTCCTAAAATCTATTTAAGAGCTTAGGTGAACTCAACAAGGATCCAATAAAGCTAGGTAATTGAACAACTCAGAGGCCAATCAAATTCACAGGAGATTGTGTCAGAGATAAACTGCATCAGAAGACAGCATGGACAATAATTTAAACTAATTGTGCTCTTTGATGTAAATTAACTTTTCCAGAAGAGAAATTGAGGCCTCATTTTGTACAGCTTTCTGAAACTGTCTGCAGCATGCAGAGTACCTGCCAGAAACACATACTGCAAATAGATTGGATATTAGGTTAAAAGGGGCAAATGCCCTACAGAGCGTGTGATACCTCTTCAACTTGCAAACCACTCAGTGTTGCTGACAGAGTGGGTACCCAGGGAACAAGGGATTGAAGAGCTGAGGGGGAGAATAGAGAGTGGATGGTGTTTGTTTGGAAGGAAAGAATTATTAGGAGTAGGGAAGAAGTTAATATAGTTCTGAAGAAGTGAGTGATTGAGATCCTTGAAATTTCAAAGTAATGAAGTGCCTAGCCTCAGAGCCTAGATGGATGCAGCCTATATGCATGTGCAAGACAGACATAGTTATGAAGAGACCAGATTGGCCAGTTTTTGTTTTTTCATCGTTCTGTGCCTGGAACAAATAGTATGAAGCTAAATGTATGCTTGTGGTTAATTCTAACGTTTAAAAAATGACCCTCTGTTTGTAGGCTTTGTGAGTGTTGAAAAACTGGAACTATGCACCACAAGATACATGTCTCCATGTAAAAGAAATGTTGACAGTTGAATTATCAGCTGTTATAAACACAGAGGCTTAATCCTAAGAGCAGCAAGGCATTGCCTACAGTATAATTGATAGCAAACACCTTGCACTTAGAAAGTGTCTGGGTTTATATGTCAAACCAAGAAGAAGATTACCATTTCCGTATTGGCTTGAAACGTGTTTTACTGTTCTCAGTGTTTATTGCATACAGTGTGAAAGACAAGAATTTGAAAAGTAAATTGATATTTTTGATTGCATGTCATTGCCTGTTTTGGGGAGAATTCCTAAGCGGTTAGTGTTTTCCTGTGCGTTTTGGGAGGTGGGAAGGAAGGCAGGTTTTTATGCAGTCATGTGAGAAACTTCCTGAAATCTAACCTTTGTTTTCTGTTTCCTTATGTAGGATGATTATTTCAGAAACTGGAATCCCAACAAGCCCTTTGACCAAGGTAATGGATGCAATATTTCTTGCTGTATAGTTGGTGGGAAATGCTGTCTCATTTTCCCTTCCTTGCATGCTGAGTTAATGTCCCCATAAAGGCCAGCTAGCTGACTTTGTTTTATTGACTTTGGAGATTGAATTGACTGGGGTGATAGAAACTATCAAATTGGTTATTTGTCTGAGGTTATATCTAGGACAGATTTAAACAATTTCACTTAATGGAATTGACCAATATAATCATTGATTGGTTTATTTTTAAAATAATAAAATGGTTTAAAAAATAATAAAATGAATTGTTGCTGATTCCACTGCTTTTATTCATTCACGCGACAGACTGTGCCTGGTGATGCCCCCCCAATTCACATGAGTCATAAAAATGAAACTTTCTTTCTAGAAAAAAGGCCAATCCTGGGAGACTTTCAAGGGCACTGCTATTTCATTTGCTAAGTAACTTCTTAATGGTTTCTGAATAGAAGTTTTTTTCCAAGTCAGCTCACTGACCACTTGGGTTTAAGCCTGGTCCACTGAGGGCTTTTTCTGCTCACCCCAGCAAACATAGAAGTGGTCTCATGATAGCTGTTGTAAATTGCTAGCCTTGTCCTCTTTGAGTCATTTAAGACACAATGAGGACCTGTTGTGAATCATATCTCCCTTCTCATCATCCCATGGTCAGCTGCTGTTGGCACAGACCCTGCTGCCAAAAATGATAGTAGATTGTGTTTCAAGTATGTATAAATGTATATGCAATTAATGTTGAAACTTAGTGGAATAATGTTAGCTACCAGATCTCCAAAGGTTTATACTCTAAGGATCAACTTCAGTTCTATAGTGTGAGTGTTCAATGTGATCATGATGGTCAACTTGATGCAAAGAAATCAAGGGAGTATCGATGTGTAACGTGCTGGAAGGTGTCCCTTTCTGTCCTCTGCTTTTCATTTTAATGGGTCCCTCTCTCTGGAGTCTGGTTTTCTTATAAGCAAAACTGGTATTAAATTTTCCCCATATGCAACATTTTTGTTCATTCATGTACTCATTCTCAAACATTTATTGAACTATCATCGTGTGCACAAGCACCATTCCAGGTACTGGGGACATAGCAAAAAAGCTGCGATATCTGCCCTAGAAGAGCTCTGAGCAGGGAATAGAGAGATAAGCCAGTCAGCAATTGAAGTGGAATCTATTAATGGCTGTATTGCAGGTGTGTTCAGGGACAAATGGAAATTCATAGGTGGGGCACTGCCTGTGTGTATATATGTGTGTGTGTGTGTGTGTGTGTGTGTGTGTGTGTGTCGGGGGGAGGGGCGGAGTGTCCAGGAAAACTTTCCTCTGGAGGCTCTGTCTGGACAATACACATCTTAGCAGCCTCCCAGAGTCTCACTCCTTTACAAGTCTAACAATGACTGAATCATCACAGTGATTTACCGAAAGCACATGGAGGCATTTGTAATTAAGTTTAGAAATTTTCTATCAAAAGTGATCAAAAAATTTAAAAGTTATCTTTTAAAAGGATAACATTTCATTTAAGAAGAACACTCATAGCTACAGAACAACAAATTCTCTACCTACCCATACCTGATAAACCAGTCCTTCTGCAAACAAACCTACCAGACTTCTGCTGGCAAAGGTAACTCAAGTGATAGTTGCTGTGAACTGATTTTTTTAGCCATGAACTAGAAATAGGTTCTTGTGCTGTAAGGATCAAATGTTGCCTAAATAACCATCAGAATTACTTCTCCAAGGCTTGCAACCAAATACACTCTACCAAGGGAAGACATTTTTACTTTTACTAATGCACATTGGAGAAGGAAATACATCAAGGTAGGTATCACCTGCCACTTGGGAATAGAAATGATAGCTTCCCTTGGATTGGGGTCAACACAGAAACTTTGAGCACCAAAAAGAACATAGTGTTTAAACCTGCTTAGGTAAAATGTCCAAACAAGAATACTTCTTTCCTAGGAATGATGGTAACTGTATCCGGCAGAGGCCCACCCCGCTCCCTCTTTTCCTAGCTCTGCCAGCTTGAAAACTGGGTCTGCTAGCTAAATCTTCCCAGAACATCTTATGACTTTATGGGATATAATTGAGGGCCTTAGCTGAGTAGCCCCACTTTGTACCTCAGGTGTAGCTGCTGTTGGCTATTTATACACAGAGCCATGGGGAGAGCAGGCAGAGCTGAGAATATCCTTCACTTAAAATATCAGTCCCAGCAGATGTCATCAATTACACTGTGTGCGGCTCAATACAAATGGGAGGTTACTCTATCAGCACTGACACCACTGGGTGAAATATAAACCACAGGCATGGAAGATGTACAGCATTTCATCTTCTAGAAAATAAGAGAATTACTGAACTCCAGTGGAAGTTGTCAGCCAAATAGAGAAGTCATTTCCCCTTCTAAGCTGAAAAAAAAAATCAAGAATGGTTTACGGTAGTTTTGTGATTGGGGGGTAACTTTTAGTTTGTAGATATAGAACTTGTTGAAAAGCACTTTCAAAGTTTCAGATGACAGATATGGGCTGGGATGGGGGTGGAAGGGACTTTATGGTGAAGGTTGGTGTGGTATGGGCTTGGAATGTGGCGGGGGGACAGGAAGGGAAGGAATGCCCATCATGGAACATTCTGTTATAGTTTAGTCAGAAAGGTGGATTTGAAGTAAATTTAGAAGGACATTTCATGCCAGTCTGTCAAGTTTGAACTTTATTTTTTTGGCAGTGGGGATCTGTAGAAAGTCTTTGAGCAGGGGAGTGACATGGTAAGGACAATATTTCAGAGGATTTAGTTTGGTGACTCAACAGGAACTCATGACATATTTGCTAAATGATGTCACTCCTGTAGGACTCTTGGGTAACTTCCCCATGGCATCATTCATTGCCTTGGAGCCCTGGGCTCTGGCTGTCGTATGCAGTCATACTTCTTAGTTCAGCTCTCCCACTTGGCCTCCGTAGTGCCCATAGCATCAAATTGTCTTAGATGTGGGTGTGGGGAATAGTTAGGACACTCAAAGTATTCAGGAAATAGGTACTTAGCTGTAATTGCTCTCTCTGCTTAAAGATATTTACTGAACTTTGAACAACAGGACTTGGTGGAGCGAACACTTATCATCATGTAATTTACTCTAAGGCAGTTAGAAGAACAGCGTCTCACCTGACTCTCCAGTGATGAGACTCGGAAAGTGTTTAACTTGCTATCTTTAAGCAAATCATTAATGCTTCCATCAGCGGAGTATAATAGCAATCAGCTTCAGGCTTTTCTAAGAAGAATTCTCTCTGAGATTGGGGTAAAGTAGTATGTCCTTTTTTCTTGTAATGATTTAATGCCAAATCTCCTCACAGAGGGGGTGGACAGGAGTTCAGAATTGAAGACAAGGATTATTAGCTCAGATAAGAAATTTCCCTTGTGAAGTTCACAGAGAAAGGGGCCCTGCAGAGAGAGGTGGGCAGATGTCACAGTTTGAGGGCTCCATGGACAAATGCAAATGGCTTCCTGTCAGAAGTGGAGGCCCTGGGATGGACCTCTGCAGAAGGCTGGCTGTGGAGCTCTGGGGTGAATCAAGAGTTTTTGGCTGCCTCTGCCACCTTGCCCTGTCAGCACCTGCCCTCCACTAGCCTCTAATAAATCCGGAAGCACAAGTGAGGTTAGTGCTTCTGTATGTGGGATTGGGTTCAGCAAGATACTTCCCCAAGAAAACAGTTCCTGGTCAAGTAAGTGTGAGACACGCACATGCTCTATTTGTTGCTTGGCAATTCACAATGCTCATCAGCAGTTTAAAAGCTCTGAGAAGTGTGTCAGTAAAGAAGCCCATTTAACCAACCATTTTTCACATTTGCCCTTGATCACATGTTTTCATTTACATTTTTTCTTTTTTTTTTTTTTGAGTTGGAGTCAGTTACTGAGAGGAGGTATGTATTTGGTGGAATACACTTTTGAAAGTGCAGTCTGGGGTTTGGGATTTGGAGTGAGAGTCTCCAAGTTTAGAACTTGCCTCTGCCTTACTAACTGTGTGATTCTGGGCAAGTAGCTTAACTTCTGTGATCCTAAGTCTTCCCATCTGGAAATGGCAATAATAATAAGAACTGACAGTGACAGCATTGTGAAGGTGGAGTGAGTTAATATGCCTGGCATATGGTAAGTGCTTGACAAGTGTTGTTTTAGTAATTCATCTTTTCCATTCCCCATTCTTCCAACTTAGCTGCCTCCCCCTGTAGCTTTTCTCACTTTTCACTCAGGTTTTATTTCCTTCTCCTTTTATTCCTTTCTGGTGGCCTTCAGAGTTGTAATGTTCTGAAGCTCTCAGGTCTGAATTAGCACTGGCCTGCCTTACCAGATGGGTCACCATGATAGTGAAGCCCAGGTCCCCATAATTGGAGCCAAGTAGATTCAGGCTCTTTGTGTGGTCGTTCCTTCAGTCATTCAATAAAGAGTTACAAATGCTTGATACATAAACCCGCTGTACTGGATAATAGAGATGGTACTAAGAAAGACCTCTCTTGTGGGACACTCCCGGTTAGCCACCCTAAGAGATACATGGCAACCCCAAAGCTGAGAGGACTTGTGCATAATAAGGTTCTTCACATATTTAAAAGAAGTCACCTGGAGGTTCAGCAGGGATTAGAACTTACAGGAGGCACCGAAGGCGGTGGGGTTGGTGAGGAAAGAGTCCACCCATGAAACACTACTGGTGGTGTGTCAGTGCGGAAAGAAACTGCGCTTGGGGCAGTTTTATAGGCAAGCAAGTCAATCAATCAAATTCCGATCCTGTGTTTACAATTACATCACATCAATTGCATCAATTGTAATCACATCAATTGCATCAATTGCAATCACATCAATTGCATGTGAAGACTATATTACTTTCATCTTTGCTTGGTCACCTTCATCTTGTGACTCGTTATTGGGAAAATGCATATCCTTCAGAGACCAGCTGTGGCCGGAGGCTGCTCCCTGGGGGAGGGGCAGAAAGAAGCCAGATATAGGGAAAAGAGGAAGCATCTGGACAGTTACCTT